GTTAGCCAGCACCAACCTAAACAGATAATTTTACAAACTGATATATAATAAATACATATATGTGTTCCACATATTAGCCATGCTCTTCTTTCTTGATTTGAATTGTAAGGCTCCCTATTAGTGCAACCCATTTTCCTCTTCTTTTCACTTCTATAAATGCCAGTATGTCTATGGGGAAGGTAAACATGCTATGGAAAATGAATACTAAATACCAGGTGATTAGAAAGTTTGATGTCAAAATTCTTCCAGATATCTACTACTCAGCATTGTGTGTGTGTCATCCCTCCCCACCCCCTCAAAATCCATTCCTTAGAATACGTTATGATGGTAGATTATCACATGCAGACACTATTAATAATGTTATTCCAACTACAATAATCCAAGGATCCCCTGAAATCATTCTTCAGTGATGCGAATATTAATTGAGAAAAACACTGCTTCCTTCAAGGCACTAAATTTCTCTGTCTTCCTCATGAATGTCTTCCTTTTTCTCTTTATGTCTTTTTCTCTTTTAAAGCAAGATGATTTCCTTACTTTGGGTATACCTCCACCCAATGGCCAAGTGCAATATAGACATCAGGGGAACTCTGCTGGCTGGGTTCCAGGCTCCTGTGCAGCCAGGAGGTGGAGGTGGGCTCTGAAAGGATCACAGCACAATCCGAGCAGCAGAGAGCCTTAGAGGAGACCCCGCTGCCTGGACTTGGAGGGGAGCGACAGGGGTCCCCCAGAGATTCAAATGCCCAGCTACTTTTGTAAGCCTGCGTGTGGTAAATTTGTGGAAAGAACAAATGGTCTCGAAATATCACAGGAAAGAGGGTTAAAAACAGTGATTTTTCTCCATTATTTGTCCATCAGAAAGCCAGAGGCCTGGTTTTGTGACATCCAGCAAATTGGTGCAGAAGCAAAGGATGTATAAAACAGAATGTCCCTTTGCACTGCCGTTTTTCCCAGAATGAATCAGAGATTTAAATTATTGGTCAAAAATAAATAAATAAATAAGTAGAGAGAATCTTTTATATAATAGAATAAAATACTGGCATGAGCATTACTGGTTAAATAGAGAACAGAAAACCAATAGAGAGAAATACAGTTAAGCTGAGGATTTTCAAAGATTATTAATTGACCTCCTTTGTTCGCTCCTTTAAAAGATTCTATGTAATCTGCATGCTGAGCCAGGTGTATTGTGTAAAGTATCATTGACAGAGTCCATTTGCATTCAAATGATTATACAGCTAGTAGCTAAAAATAGTCACAATACATCAGAAATTGGTAACCAACTTAAAATATTGTCTTGAAAGCAGAAAAAATATTAAAACATCAATTGAAGATAAACATATTTAAATTATGTAAGCAAATTAGTTCATACCCTCCAGCCTCAAGCCTCTATATTGCCTTAAGCTAATTTTAAAACTAATCACTGAGAGAGCAGTCACAAAGTTCCACATAGAGATTTTCAGTCAAAAGTGTTTTTTAATCACATGTTACAGTTTCTTTCTAAAGTCAGTATTAAGGTGTTAATGAGATATTCTCCAATTAAAATAAGGCTTTGTAAATAGATTTTTCTCAATTCTAGAAAATATTTTCATACTTGGACAACTATTTGGAGAGGAAAATGAAAAATTTTAAGGGAAATGGAGATATAATAAGGGTTTTTTTTTTAAAAAAAGGAATGGTTACATGAACATTTTTATGACTCTTATACTTTAAGTCCCCTGTTATCTTAAAAGCATACTAAAGTCAATAAATAAAAGATGCCCATTGGTGATAAACAATCAGAAAAGACTACAGCTATGATGAAGTTACTGAAAGCAATAAAAATTATTTCATGTTTGTAGAACATAGGCAAAAAAAAAATTGCATGTTTAAAATCAGTACTCTTTATGGTAGTAACCATTTTAAGAACAAAAGATATCCAAATGAATAATGTAAAAAGTTGATTAATAAATCAAGCTTTTATCTTATTGTTTGTGATTGTGAAGTTGTATACTACCTCCACCTAGAGGCTTAAGGCTCACATATCATTTAGGTTTTCTGTGTTGACTGAAAGAGCCAAGACCATTAAAAAAAAGAGAGAGAAGCAGGAAGAAAGAAAGAAAGAAAGAAAGAAAGAAAGAAAGAAAGAAAGAAAGAAAGAAAGAAAGAAAGAAAGAAAATTAAGTTAACACTCAAATCATTTTAGTCTGTGCAGTTTGTGTGGCTTAAAGGAAAACTGTTGACTCCCTCAATGAATTTTGGTGTTATGATATGCATATAACTTAATCTCTTCAATTCCTTGCAAGAACATGCCATTCAAAGGGTATTGTTTCCTTCAGTGATTTTTTTTTAAAGACAATGTTTCTGTTCACTTTTGCATTTATAGCGAAAAGCATGAAGCAGTGAACTTTTTATCATCTCTGCCACTGCATAGTTCAGTTTCTGGGTACAATCGTTCTTCGTTAGAAATAATACTTCGAGATACTCTAGCTTCTCAAAAGCCACCCCTACCCTGATGCCATTCAAGAAACACACCTTTACCCTGAATTAAAAGAGTCAGATACGATAAATGTCTCACCTGATTGGGTCCCACATCAAGAAGACAAAAAGCAGTAACTGCATGCTGTCGATGTTCAATTTCATCTTCATTGCAGCTCTGGTGAAGCCATGAAAGGAAACCAAAATACACTAAAAATTAAATTCAGCCCCACCATCCAAATAGCCCCCAAAGACTGCCATTTCCATCGGTAATTGCATTTAGAGCTATGGAGGCTATTCCAGCAGAGTGAGTGTATGGTATGATGATGGGGTGAGCGAGGGTTGTATTTTGTGAGTTTTCTTCTTACTTCTTTCCTTTCCTTTTCTTTTTCTTTTCTTATTTATTTATTTATTTATTTATTTATTATTTTTATTTTTGACTGGCAGATGATCAAGTAATCACACTTTGCCCATCCTCAGCAAACACTGTTTTGTGCTCACATAGAGACATTCAAATAATAACACACGGGACCCTGAATTGACATAGGAGCTAGAGAAGAGTATGGGTTGGAGGGGGAAATGAAAAGGGGGGGAGGAGATGGGCACTTCAAGCCACCATCCCCTTAACCAAGGCCACCCCCGCGATCGAGGCGAGAAAAGC